TTTTGGCATCAATAATAATATAGTATGATGTGTCAGTTTGCTGAGATGGAGAGGATTCATCTGCACACATTACAGCAACTTGAAATTGAGTTGTCTGAGGCAAGAGAAAGAAATGGCACTATCTCAAATGGGCCCCGCACGACTCATGTAAAGGATGTATCTCCATTTGTCCATAACAATGGAAGCAGCCCTTCTGGCGATTCTAGGGGTGTCCAAAATGGGGATGCAGAAGTTGTCTCTTCACAGGTAGTAGATGTTGGTATCTTTTATTTATCAGTATGTATATAGAAAGTCATTTACATAAAATAATAATAATCTATTGCATTTCAGAATGAAAATGTTCCTGCTGTTCAAGTTGCTCCTCAGTCAATGCATGGAATGCCAGCTTTCTTTTCACCTGGACAGCTGGCACCTCTGCATCCATATATTCTACACCATCCTCAAAATGTGAATTCACATCTTGTTCAGTCTCATGTTGGCCAGTTCCATTCTGTCCCCACGTGGCAGAATCAACAGGTGAATTATAATTTGTGATTTCACAAGAATTTTACTGTATACTTATTCGGTAAGCTTTTCACAGGCTATCTCAGAAAGTTTACAAATCCCAATTCATGAACAGTATTCCTCCCAAAATGATCAAAATTCATTGTCTGTAAATGAGCAATCACAGCAGAGCTTGCAGCAAATCTCATCTCAGTTTCATGAGTCTTTAAGGTTGAATGATTCTGACAATGACAATATACACCAGGTTAGCTTTACTTTACCAAATTTGTTTTTGTTTTTTACTCTGTTTTGTCTCACTAAGGTTAAGTTTTGACTTTTGAGTAACAGGTAAAGAATGCAAGTTTTTTGTCTAATCATGGAACTGAAGGTCAAAGTCCACCTACAGAACAGCTTGGTTCTGCTAACATTGCATCTGAAGTGATTCAGTCAATAAATAATGTCACTAGTGCCCCCACTGCTGCTTCTGAAACAAAAAAGGGTCTTTTTGATGAAGAAACATTGTTGGCTTGTGTTGTGCGTACAATTCCACCTGCTCCTGGAGGAAGAATACAAATCAGCTCTACGGTTGGTTTCCCATAACCTCATTTCAGTTTTTTATTTTAATAAAAATATGTGCTCTATTTCTTATCGGTTTGTAGGCTAATAAATAGCAACATACTTGGTTTCTTATGGGATGAAGCTAGTAACTTTTACTGTTTTGACAGCTGTTGAGCAGACTGACAAAAATGCTTGCACCTCTTCGTTGGTCTGATTATGAGAACAGGCATGGAAAGCTGGTTGCCTTTCTGGGAAGTCATCCTGAAGTGAGTTAAATTTATATACTCTCTCTCTCTCTGTGTGTGTGTGTAAATGAGTTAGAATTAAACATTTTTCTTTTTCTTTGTGTTTCAGTTGTTTGTGATTGAAGGGGATTATATTCAGGTGAGGGAGGGTGCACAGGAAATCATTGCGGCTATGGTGGCTCATGCGAAAGTGCGTGCGGCTGCTGTTGCTGACTCAGCAACCTCTTCGAATCTGTCACTGCTGTCTTCTGTTGCTGTGACGCCCATGGCAAGAACCCGATTGAAGAAGGGCCCACTGCCAGCTGTCACCTCCAGTTACGGAGGAAATGCTAATGGTGTTGGTGTAAGACTTGTCACCAAACAGAACGATCAAATGAGACAAAACGGGAGGCCCACAGCTACAACCACTCCAAATTACAATGGGAAACAGCAGCAGCAGGGGGGCAGGTTGGTATAATACGTTTACATTACTGTTTTTTTTTTTTTTTTTTTAAAATTTTCTTTCTTTTGAGATGATCCTTATGTTAATTGAATTCTTGTTTCTGTGACAGGAGTCGAGGAAGCTTTCAAATGTAATGAAGGAAGATGGTTATAGAATTTCGATTGGAACCGGAACTGGTATTGGAATTATATAATTAAAATTTTCTTCCTTTGTGTATCTACTGTCTGTTTTAGCACTATTTATGGTCTGTTGGTTATTTGAGAATGATTTCAATGGATTAAAATTCTCTACCCATGCTCTTCTTCCACTTCTTTTTGTAATCTCCCATTAATGATTTGGTGTAATCAACCTTTTTCAACATTGTGACCCGTATTTCATGGTAGGGAGGAGGATTAAGGCCCCTCTCCCAAATTCACCAATCATTTCAATCATTTTTTGAAACTCGGGATTTTTTACACTGTTAAAAGGGATGGCACTTGTGTAGAAAAAACTTGCAATTTGTTGGCAAACTCTTTCTCGTTCTTCCTTGAAAATAGAATTCATTGTGCTTTGAACCTTTCCTTTCTTTATCACATTGTTTTCCAAGTTATTTCCTCTAGCTTGCCTTTCATAGACCTCATCGTCTTCACTGGTTGAAAATGCACCTCTGTTTCTTTGTTACCATATCATCCTCTTCCAATAACCGACGAAATTCGAGCCTAACATTTTCGGGAACTTTATCACAAGGCACGACATTATTACGTGTGCGAGCTAAGTGGTGTTTGAATCTAAAAATCCCACCAGAGCATACACTTGACTTTCCAATCATGCAAATCTAAAATAAACCATGCTTCCAACCAGGATCAGTTCTGGCCCCACTAGCATTTTTTTCTCATTTTACTAGTTGAAGGTGCAGAAGTAGCTGTTGGAGCTGATCCAGAACTACTCTCCATGAGTAGTCTGAAATTAAAAAAAAAAAAACATAATTGTTATACAAAAATTGAATCAAAGTTGGAAACTTGAAACAAATAATTACTTCTTTTTTTGAAGAACACCTGTCATGAAGCAAAGAAAAGAAACAGATATCATGTAATCTTTTTTTGACATATTGAATGGAAATGGAAAGAGACATTTTTTGGTTATAAAGTAAATGACTAATTACTTCTTTTTTTGAAGAACACCTGTCATGAAGCAAGTTCCATATGCGATCTTACGCTCACACTCCCGATCCTACCTTAAATACAATCCGGACCCCAGGATCGTGATTTTGACAATCTTGCCTAGTATGTGGTTGACATTACAAAGTACTTTGCTGATAAGATCTTTTGCTGCGAAAGAAAGTGATAGTTGATAAGTTAGCTACAAATTTCATGGTACAGGTTCCATCCTAAAAATACACACACTCCTAATTTCAGTCAAAATTGCATGCATTTTGGTTGCTGAAAGTAGAAATGTACAATGAGATATGATTTCCTGGAAACTTGGGTAAATTTATTGAATTTTCTGCCTTGGAAATAACATTGTACAATATCACATGTTTGCTCAGTCAAAAACTCAAATATTAATGCACGGAAATAGCAATGTTCATATGTTTACCGGAAAAACTAAGATGGAAATGTAATTAATTTTTATGCATTTAGCCGTGTAGGTTAAATGTAAATGTTATGTTTGACGATAAAAATTTGACTTTATATGCTTTTAAGGAAAAAATATTGTTGCAAGCAAAAGCACAAACATATAATAAGAGTAGGATGTCGTTTTTTGCATATACTTTCAAAGCATAACTACCAGTTCAAACCCAATTTCATTATCTAAAGGAATTTAGAAACTAACTACAGTATATGTAAAAGAAATCAAACAAAATAGACATCTTAGAACTCAAAATCATCAAATAATCAGATGAGTGGAATTAGAGATAACAAACCACTTACTCCAAGCATTACATAAACAGGAACATATGCAGTGCCTAAATCTTGCTCCAGTATTTGGCCTTCTTGAATAAGCTGCAATGATCAAATGCTGGATGATTTTCCATGTAATTGGAAGTGAATTTTTCTATGAAAATGGTCTTTTGTTTTAATTAAAACCTATAAAATAACATTACTTGGGGGCTGTTTCTTTTTTACTTACTGGCCTAGGTAAACCACATAATCTAGACAACTATACATGGTTGTTGTTTTTTTTTTTTTTGACCTAAAACACTTGGCTTAATGTATTAAGATACTAACCTTTTACCTGTTTCCCTTATATTTTTTCCTCCCAACTCCTCTCACATTAAAACTATTGAATGAATATTGTTATTTGATATTGTGAAACTTGTATTTTCTTAATATAAGGGTAAAACAGTCATTTAGCCTCATTCAACTGCTTTATTCATTCTAGACAAGAAACAGACCTTTATCCAGACAAACATCATTACCCATTAAGCCAATTCACCTATAATGGAGAGAAAAAAAATCCCTTTAATATTTGAATTCTAAATTTACTTACTGGTTTAGGGGTTTGGATTCCACCTCCCAAGGCGGGAAATGATTGCGTGGGTAAAGACAGGGGCATATTTGTCTTTTGCCTTTTCTGAGATGCTGAAACGGTTGGACAGAGTGAATTTGGGTCATGGTTATTGATCTTTCTTTCGCCTGAGAGGGCATTTAAGTAAATTCATCAAAGCACAGATGAAGTCTGGGGTATAGATATGTAGAAAGGTGAAAATCATACCCATGAAAGCGCATCAGATTGTGCTTTGAAAGCTCGTAGCACTGAATTGCATGCGACTTGCTCAAGAAAGCGCATCAGAGATATATCAACTCATTAGTTGCCAAATTCCTGCAACATAAAATTTGAGACAAAAATTACAAAGAAATTGAAAGTAACAGAAAACATATAAAAACAACGTTCAAAAACATTTATTAAAAAAAGGATTCATGATATATGACCATGTACCTTGAAATAAAAATTTCCCACAATGAACGCATGAGCTGAAATGTAAAATCATGGCATTCATCAGTCGAGTAAAATCAATAACTTTCGTCCAACTTCCCCTGCACATCAGAACCTGTTAATTCATTACAATTATCAGAGGAACATTTGATCATTTTGGAATAAAATCCACAATTTACTACAATAATTACATATTAATTATCAGCAAAGTTGCAATCAATCATCTAATAACTGAAGTAAAATCTGACATTGGATCGTAAAGAAATACAATACAGTTGAAAGAATTGGTTTAAACTGTTGTTTTCTAGTTCTTTTTAGAAGGAAAATGCAAAATCAAATGTTTTACTTTTAGTTATAAAATTAACAAAATGCCTAGCCTTTATTACTTGATCAACCCTGTACAAGTTGTTATCCCATATGCTGAGTATACCCCCGGACCTCCCAGTAGCATGAATTGTAGCGAAGTCGAAACCAGTGGTTAATCCCCAACAACCCGCCACATCTATGTCATCTGAATCTAGTAGTTGCGTTTCCTGTGGGCCGATATATGAGATATGATGTTGGTTCTTTAATCGTCTCACCCAGGTGATTTTGTGGGTTTCACCTATACCCCTCACATTAAGACTCAAACAATTCATTGAGGAAAGTTATTCTCACCTGCCTCGCCTATTACTTCCACCAGAACCTCATTACCTGATTCAATCTCAAACCCCAGCTGTTGCCCTATTTCAGCCGTTTTTTCTGCTTCCACGGAGTAAGAACAGCAGTCAGGCTCGCCAGCTTCATGTCTAGACCCATTTAGACTACGATTAAGATCCAGAGATGGGGTTGGGGCGGGGTCGCCCAGCTCCGACGGAAATGGTTGCATAGGAGCAGGGGAGTTATCACTCGACTGTTGGGGAAGATGTGTCTCGGGCAGAGATAAGAAGGGAGCGATTTCATATTCCCCAAATTCATGTCGCCTTCTTTTCCTGCTAATTAGACCACCAAGTTGGGAGACGTGCTGCTTGTTCGAAATTGGGCCCAATTTATATTGGAGGGGAATGGGCCAAAACATCCATTTGGGACCAGGTTGTTCAATGGCCCACTAGGGGTGAGATTATCTTTCTGATTCCATGCCGTGAGGATGAGTGATAGCTTCATTTTATTTACTTCTTTTTATAGTTTATTTTAGCATATTTCATTCATAACTTAGATAATTTCCATGCATATTTTCCTTTTTGTTATTTTATGACTATTTCGGGTACTCTCGAATCTTGTGAGCATAATTGCAGGTTTTCGGGTCTAGCGGAGCGGGAGTGTTCGGGACGTATAGGAGGCGATGAGATTTGGTAGACAAAAATGACGTTGGGCTTGATGGGTAGTGGAGATGATGCATGGAGTGATCTTGATGATTATTTGAAGACTTGGAGAGAAATAAACTTAAATTTGCAAGATGCGGGGGAACATTCAAGCGTATGAAAATTATTAATCGGGCGAGTTCACGAGCTTTGGAGGATTTGGAGAGGTCAAATTGGGCTTTAAATGAAGAAAAACTTGAAGAAAATGGGCTAGGAGGTGATTGGATTCGATCTGGGTTAGTGGGATATGCTTTAGAGGCCCAAAATCTCAAAGAAGCCCATGTCAGGCACCACCCGCGCAGCAGCACGCGGGTCGCGCAAGGCCCTGCAGGGGTAGTTTCGGAAATTCTTCTTTTGAGCTATTTGAGGAAGGTTGGTTCCCATCTTTTGCATACTCTTGAACATCCGATTTTTGGGAGATTCTCTCTGGAGTTTTGAAGACTTTTGAAGGCCAAGAACCCTTGAAGAACATCATATTTTTACCTCTTGATTCTTGCTTAATGTTTGGTACAATTTCTCTAACTTTGTTTCTTTGTGTTTAGCCATGCTTGGCTAAACTAATCTTGGTTGACTTTTGGTTAATCCTTTGAACTTTTGTTGAATGTTGAAGAATCCATGAACATGTTCTTGAATCTTTATGGGAATGTTTTGTGTTTTAACATCTTATCATTACTTGTATGTTTTAGTTCATGAGTTTAAATGTGTTTGTGGTGATTAGTTGGCTAATTTCTTGATTAAGTAAAGGATCCTCAAATTAGCAAGCAACAAATGATTTTGTGTTGTTTTTGCTTCACACAATCATAAAAACATTCCTCCAACATGGTGGTGAAAGCATTTGACCCCTCTTGGATTTGGTGACTTTTTGGTTCTTAATGCTAGTTGACTTTCACTAATTACATGCTATTTGGAATTAGTGACTTTGACTAAGGAAATTGTTATGAGCTTCTCTAGCCATTTCAACAATTAAGAAAAGTCTAGGTAATCTCAAGCTCCTTGGATTACTATAGCCAAATTGAAGATTTAAAACAAGTATTGCACCATTGAATTCTAATGATATGTTCATCAAAAGTCAAAGTGAGAAAACTTTAAGTCAACCATCTTTCCCTTATTGATTTTACATCAAATTCTTATTTTTGTTGCAATTGTCTATTTAAATCATAGTTAATTCTAGTTAGTTTCAAGTATTTCAAAACACCAAAACCCCCCATTTTATTTTTATTGTCATTTTACAAGTATTTTTACAAAGAGATTTTTCATAGAGTTAGAAATTGAACCAATCTCCGTGGATTCGATCCCTTTACCACTATACACTATTTTAGTGTGTAACATTTAGGGTTATTATTTGTGTTGGCCTCGACAACCACCAATGAGCTTTAGAATCGGATCAGTTCGGAACCGGTTTTCCTATATTATAAGAACCGGGAACCGGACCACCGGTTCTAGTGCCGGTTCCGGTTCCGGTTCTGAACTTTCGGTTATTTTTTAAACTAAAATCGTTTGAAATATTATAGATGATATGTTATTTTTCGGAGCTTGTACATGATTCAATATTTAACCAAATTATGACTTTTTACATTGTAAATTAAAATACAAACACTAAATTACATGATGAAAAGAAATCAAATAATTCCGACTTCATATGAGTGAGTTATGCGCATATTAAAAGCGGGATGGGTTCCACAAAAAAAATGTTGAAACAGAAAATACGCAACATTGAAGTAAAAACACCAAATTACATGTTGGAAAAAAAATAATAATGTAATTCCGACGTCATATGAATGAGTTATGTACATTAAAAAAAATGGGACAGATTAAAAAAAAAATGTTGAAATAGAAAAACACAACATCGATATTCTTTCTTTCGGGGCATGAATCTGATTCAATATCTAACCAAAACATATGTTTGTATAGTCAAAAATTAACTACAAACTCCAAATTACATGTTGGAACAAAATCAGATAATTCTAACTTCATATGAGTGAGTTATGTACATTTTAAAAAACTGAAAAATTGTCAAACCGGTTCCGGTTTTTAGAATCGGGATCGGTTTTCATAAAAATGGAAAACCGGTAACTGAACATTGTTCCCAATTCCGGTTCAGGTTCTGTTCCGGTTTCAGCGGTCCTAATGCTCATCCCCAGTCATACTCACCCCACCGAAAAAGTGTTGCCACATGTGCGCCATGTTAGCTTCACAACTAACCCACCACCAACCCACTAGATATAGGAAATGGTCACCACTCCACAATATATTTTTTTATGTTATATTAAATAAAAAACCTAATTAATAAAAAACATAGAAAATAATAATAATAATAATAATAATAATAATAATAATAATAATAATAATAATAATAATAATAACAACACCAACTGGAAAGATTCCTCGACGTTATCGGTGTCGAAAGGTATTGCTTTGTAAAGTAAAGTAGCATGTTTGAATTGGATTGAGATAATCTAGTAAACGAAGATGAACAATGTCATTTAATTACACAAATAAAGAAATCGAAATCATTATTTCTTGCAATAAATGAGGAAAATAAAGAAATAGTCTCACAAATTGAACTTTATTGCCATGTATGGTAGCGGCCAGAAAACCAATCCGGAAAATATAGACCGTTGTTTTTTTGTTGTAAGGAAGAAGAAGTCAAATTGTTGTAAAGAAGAAGAAGTCACTTTTGATCCTTGTACCTTTGGTTTGGCAAGAAGGAGGTGCACAAGAGCAAAGGGGAGGTGCGATTCTAGCAGTTCCAGAGATTCAGAGACTTCATTTTGAGGTAATAGTTCGAACCTCCTTCAGTTTTGGTGTTGATCATTAGAGTTAGGGTTTTCTAACCCCCTTTGGAGAGTGATTATGTGGAGCAAATGGTCCCTCTTCGAGTTTGTGCCTTGGATCTGGACTCAAAGAGGTCCAGAGACCTTAACCCTTGGAGCTTTATGGATAAGTTTGGGGTTATTGGACTTAGGTTGCCATTTTTGGGACTAAATCTCCTTTTGATGCCTTGTTGTTGTTATACAAGCATCAAGTTTCGAGCTTTACGTGGCATTCATGCTTGGGAAGGCCAGATCTTTGATTTAGGGAAACAGATCTGACCTTAGGAGGCCAGTAGAGTTTGTGCATGGCATGAACTCGTCGAGTTGTTCCTGAGACTCGGCGAGTAGGGTTAGGTTTTCATGTAAATTGCTCAGTGAGTAGACTTGCTGAGTTGGGGATGACTCAGTGAGTCAGAAGGGAGTTAGAGGACTGGAGTTCAAGGCGGTACTCGCCGAGTTGTTCTTGAGACTCAGCGAGTTGAGTCGTGGTGGCCCCGCGATTCATGCCTAGTATGACTTGTCAAGCATAGGGAGGGACTCGGCGTGCCAAGTGGGACAAAGTGTTAAAGAACATGTGTGAACTCGCCGAGTCACCAGAGTGCACTCGGCGAGTAGGGTCAAAGTGTGACCGTTGACTTATAGGGTTTGGTCAATGGAGTACTTGTGTTGAGAGGGGGGATAAAATAGCCTTTTTCCCTCCTGAGGGTGCCAAAGGCAGGTTGAGTCTAGTCTTGATACTTATATTTATAAGAGTATTTATTTTATGTGAATAGGCGAAGATTAGGCAATATTCCTACCGAGTCAGAGATTTACCGAGATGCCTTAGGTGAGTCTTCTCACTATACTTTACCTAGTGTGGTAACAAAGTTATGTGATAGAGTATTTTAGAGTTATATGCCAGTGTGATTGCATGTTGTTTATGTGCTCTGATTTATTGTGATATGTGCTATGTATAATTCAGAGTTACAGAGTTAGGACCTACGGGTTCATAGAGTTAGGACTTTCGGGTCCACAGAGTTAGGGCCAGAGGTCCCATAGAGAGTTGGGGCTAGAGGGCCCTATTGAGACACATAGACCTGAGGGTCAACAGAGTTACAGCCTCGAGTGGCTATTGTGTGTTAAAGTGGTATTTTGGGGAACTCGCTAAGCATTTATGCTTACAGTGTTATGTGTTTCAGGTACCAGCGACGATCGCGGGAAGGCGCCGGCATGATCCGTACACACACACACTGGAGTTTTTATATATATTTTGATCTTGGGTTTTGTATTGATACAATGTTGTTATAACGATTTTTTTATATTTTCTAATGATATTTTATGGGTTCAAAACTGAAAAATTGTTCAAATTTTTACGGTGTTACAAGTTGATATCAGAGCCTTGGTTTGAGGGATTCAGATATATCTTCGGGCGTATCTGAAATCAAACTGGGGATTTGAGGAAACTTTTAATAAAAAAAATATAAAATAAAAATAATATTTTTGAAAAAGAGTAAAAAGAGTTTTGATACAAACAGAGCAGAGTCGTGTGTACGATCAGCCAGCGCCCAAACGATGATTTCCCAAAATACCCTCCTAATAAGTGATTATCAGATATGCTATGTAGCTATATGATGAGTTACGATGTGCATGCTAGAGTAGACTAGGTATTCTTATTAGGACTAGAGTGGCGTGATACATGATGCCTTGGTCTAGGGGTTTTGCTGCTAGAAATGCTTAAGAGTGATTTAGATAGCAGTGAGGTGCTTATGAGAGTTTTGTTAGTGAGTAGCACATGATAGAAAGAGTAGAGTACTTGGGATTTGAGGCTCAAGGAGGAGGACTTGGGATGAATGCCAACGCGGTATGGACGGTAGTATTGACCCGTACTACTGAAGATATCGGGTTGGTACGCAGCCCAAGTAAGA